GGAGGAAATTTGTGGTGAGGTAGTCAGCTCTAATATAGTGTGGAAACTAGAGTGATTTTCATAGGACTCCAGACTGCAGATTTAATATATTCCTCTGCTGGGTTTTTATTTCTGATGAAAGGAGACCTGGGTGATAATGAGCTGCATTTATAGCCTATCTTCCTTGGGGAACTTGAGGAAATAGTTCCTCAGGTGTGGATGATGATGGGAGGTTGTTCGTCTCTGAAAGAGAATACTTATGTGGGAGAATGTAGGGAATACTTTACGTACAACGATGGTGAGCCAGTGGATGATGCCACCCAATGGTTACCCGGTATTTGCTATTCTATAATCTCATGATCTGTGTCCGAACTGAGATAAGAACATGCTTATAAATTCTGGGCTCTTTCTACAATAGCAAGTTGGAAGCCCTGGGGAAAGATTTCCTGGGTAATATGCTGCCATGATGTCTAGGATGGGCGGTTACCCCCAGAAACGGATCTGGAATGGGTGATCACTCTACCTACTATGATAAATGCTAGGATTTCAAGTTTAGGATTTTTTATTTTGACCACGTGTCAAGGTATTTATAATAGTCCTTGAAAAGGAGATACGAATTCTAGCCCTTTCAGAAGGAGACATGGCAGTACATAGCCATTAAATGTTGTATGAGGTGTTATACCAAAAGGTCCTAGAACACCATCCTCTGCCTCCTCTCTTCTTTTACTGTGTTCATGTGTCTTCCATGCTTGGGTGCTCAAGAACTTCAGACGGACAAGAGGAAGGTGGCTAAACTGGATTTTCATACTTGTTTTTAAAAATGGCAGAGGAATTATGAAACAGGAAATTCCTCACATTGTTGATAGGAATTTCCAAGCAAGAGACTTAATACTTAGATGTGGAAAACGGTTGATGGAGAGTACAAAAACTTTTTTTCCAGTGGTGTAGCTGTTGGTAAGGTTCATATGTTCCTGTAAACAAATTCCCACACAGCACCTGTAAATAACCCTAATGAAACTCACTGTGCCCCATATAGACACAGTGTAAACAGAGCTCTTAATTGGTCTAGATAATTAAAAGCTGGAGTCAGATATAGAGGGAAATGCTGAGAGATCAGAGAGAAGGAACAAGCTACAGCATACCTTACCTCCTAAGCGTCCCAGCAGATAAGAGATTGATTTCCTGTTTCTCACTGCTTACATCTTGCTTCTGCCGAGCTACCTCACTTCCTGTCTGTCTGTACAGACCTCCAGACCTCTATGGTTAGCTAGTGTCAAGCTCCATTCTCTGACCCCCAGACAGGCTTTATTTGAACAAGCAAGATATCACCACATATCCCCCTTTTTTTGTCTAAAAATTTTTTTAAAAAGGTTAGAACTAATATAAGAAAAACTATATACAATAAGTACAATAACTATATATAATATATACATGGAAATAAGTGCATTAACAATGTCTAGTTCATAAACATATGACAAACTCTGAGAAAATATTCCATATCTATTCTTTTTTGGTGAGTATGAAGTCTTGGACCTAATTTACTTTCTATTCTAATTTGCATTATCAAATTATCTTTTAATGTCTTTTAAACATATTACACTTAATATATCTATAGTGAGTTTCTTTACTGATTTTGATAAACAGGGAAACCTATAACTATACTGTTTAGTCTTTAACACCCTCAGATACCCAAGAAGGAAATAATATTAACTAAGTAAACAGAAAGTACGAGCAAGCGACTTCCAAAAATATGAGAAATGACAGAAACAGCTGGCTGTCTGAACAGTCACCCAAGATTACTCTGCAATGATGGGGCATCCATTTTTGACCTATAGGCTTAGCATATCTGACAGACATTTCTGTGAATCAGGATAATCTGAAGGACTGGATTGTCTTGTCTTGGCAAGGTTTGAAGCCAGTCTTTCTGTTGTCCTATTTGTCCAATTTGGACAGCATACTGTCAGCAGTTGAGGCAAGGGCATTTTCTTGTCTAGTGGCTTACCTTTATCACAAAGAATTTAAACTCATGTATGTGGTGATATCTTGCTTGTTCAAATAAAGCCTGTCTGGGGGTCAGAGAATGGAGCTTGACACTAGCTAACCATAGAGGTCTGGAGGTCTGTACAGACAGACAGGAAGTGAGGTAGCTCGGCAGAAGCAAGATGTAAGCAGTGAGAAACAGGAAATCAATCTCTTATCTGCTGGGACGCTTAGGAGGTAAGATGTGCTGTGGCTTGTTCCTTCTCTCTGATCTCTCAGCATTTCCCTCTATATCTGACTCCAGCTTTTAATTATCTAGACCAATTCAGAACTCTATTTACATTTTGTCACCTAATGTGGGGCACAAACCCACAACCCTATAGGATCTACCCACTGAGCTAGTCAAGCTCATTTAAAAGTGTAATGTATAATTATATACAGATTATAGATAGTCACCTATTATAGTCAAAACTTAAAGTTATGTTAGTTAGGTTTTCTAGATATACAGAAATATATTTCAAATTAATAGGTATTCTTCAAAACCTTTCAAAGACCTTCAGAATATGGCATGTAAAATGGTTTATTCGGGTTTTTCATGACAGTGAGACACAATTGCTCCTGGCAAGACCGATTACTATAAGAGAGGAAGATGGGTATTGGTGAAACTTGTTATGGAGTTTGCCTTTGACATGGCAAGACTAGCCATTTGGGCAAGAAACTGCTTTTTCCTGCACTATTTCACTGTATGCTGTATGAACATACAGGACCCATAGGAAAGTAACAGTCCTTCAGGGTTCCTGTTTCATGGAAGAGTCTGCCAGTCATTCTGCAGGACACAGAGAAAAATGACAATGAAAAACTGCCAATACAGGTGGGACAGTTTCAAATTTCTGCTTCTCTGAGAAGTCTGCCAGACATTCTGGGCCTATAGGCTGAAGATGGATGCCCCAGTGTTATAGAAGAACTTTGGGTGACTGTCCAGGCAGTGAGATATCTCTGTCAATTATAGAGTTTATATATTATCCTTTTGAGGTCTTTGATGGAGTTGAAGACTGATAGTTATGGTTTTCCTTAGTTATGATAAAAGATAAATTACATATAAAACTTTAGATTCACAAAGATAGGATAGATGATAGAATATTTTCTTTAAATTTTGCTAAGTGTTTATCAACTAAATGTTGTAACTGTAATACTTGCTTGATAACTCTTTTATATATAATTTTACTATGTTAAAGTTAAAACTTTCCTTTTCATTTAGTAAGAAAATAGGAGATGATGGAGGATGTCCTTCTGTATATATATTTCTCTAATTGGTTGATGAATAAAACACTGATTTTCCAGTAGCCAGGCAGAAAGTATAGGTGGTGCTACCAGATAAGGAGAATTTTGGGGAGAGGACACAGAGAGAAGTGATCAGAGAGAGATGCCATGTAGCTACAGGAAGATAGGATTGTCCAGTAAGATAAGGCCATGTAGAAATACATATATTAGTAGTTATGGGTTGATAATTAAGAGAGAGCTAGCCAGTAAGAAGTCTAAGCCATTGTCCAAACAGTTTATAATTATTATAAGTCTCTGTGTGTTCATTTGGGATTTGGGGCTGAAGGCTGGTGGGACCATTCGGAACAAAAACTCCATCTACAACACAGAAACATGAAAGTCAAGGAGGAAGTGGAAGAGTATTAATGGGCATGGGAGGAGGACAAGACATAGTAGCAGTAGGTGAATATGACTGAAATATATTATGTGCATATTGGAAATGTCATAATGAAACAATTATTATGTATAATTAATATATGCTAATAAAATATTTAAAAAGGAATTCTCACTTGGAGTTTAGAACTGGAGAGGTTAGAGATGCCCAGCGAATTGCCCGAAGCACCAGAGATAATGAATGACAGTTGTAGAAATCATTCTGGACAATAAAAAATGTCCCGTATGGATGTTAGACATTATTAGATTTTTAATAACTTTACTCACATTCAAGGTTGGTAATGATCAAAGATCATTTGGTGGTACATTTGTTTACATCAAGAATTCATTAATAAGTCTTTAACTCTGCATTTTAATGAGAGGTTATTTATCAAAATGTCTCTCCCCATGAGAGAGATGAGTGTCATGTGGCAGGAAATCTAGTAGAGACTGATTAGTCTTGTTGAAAGGATTTTCAGAGTTGAAGTACTACAGTCTACAATGCAAACCATGTCAGCTAATGTAATATTCAATAATTCATGAAGGCCATCTGCTCCATTCCAGATGCCTGGGCTGGGGGGCTAGGGCTGAGGGACAGAGATGAGAAATCTTCCCTATGTTGTACATACTGAAGCATTTCATTAGCATCATCTCAGCTGGCAGTCAATCAACAGGGGCTTTTCTCATGCAGAAAAAATGCTTAACTTCAATGAAAATGAATCTTCGAAGGGTTACAAACAGTAAGTAATTTTTTTAGAGAGTCAAGATATAAAGCATAAATCAGTGCTCTAGTAAGCAAGCCTAAGTTTGTGTGACCACTTGTCACTGACTCCCATTTTTAGGTAGAATGCTGTAAAAGAAAAAATATTCTTTCCAGAGAGTTGGTGCATGACTTACTTTTCAAAGGACATTTTTTGCCTCTCTCTAAGAGATTCTGCTAAGTTTCAGGTCCAGGCTTATTCTAGGTAGACCAGTACTCTACCACAAGAATTATGGCCTCACTCTTCCCTTCTGTCACATCTATTTTTACACACATAAGAAGGCATTGCTAATCTGACAAGAATTGTTAGGTGATTCCATTAGACTAGGGGCTTCCAGCCTGAACTCTCCCAACCTGGCTACTGGTTCTTTTGGTCCAGAGGCTTTAGAGTGATGGTGAAGTGAGGAGGTGGCATGTATTCACAACCTGTCAGACAGCACCTCATGCTTTATCTTTTCTCAATGCTGAGAGTCATCACATCAGATAGGCAAGGATGACTCTGCCTAGTCAGCTCCATGTGCTGTGTAACACAGCCCCACACGGCAGCTGCTTTGCTTGTCTACTGTCTAGACAAAAACAAGTGACTTACTTTCATGGAAGGCAAAATCCATGTAGAAAAGATTGAAGTTTGTGAATGTCTCAGTGGTTGCAATTTTTTTCAGTGTATTGGAGAGTTGTTCTGCTCTCTAGATACAAGAGAAACAAAGAATTCCATGAAACCTCAACTTTGACTTTCATGAGACAATTCAGTCACAAAAAAGAAATTGATCTTCCACACGTCACTTCACTTTCCTATCTCCAAGCTATCAGCAGAAATAGCTCTGCACATTAAAGAGTATTCATGTGCAAATGACCAATGAACATATGAAAAATGTTACTATTCATTAAGAATCAAACCAATGTAAATTAAAGTAGTAAGATTCAACTTTTCCTCCATGAATTTCACAAAGATGAGATGAAAACCTTGATAAAACTAAATGTCAGAGTGAATGAATGAAAATATAGGTTAGCTTCATGGTTCCAGACAACAACTTGGCAATGCAGATCAAGTATATCTTAACATGACCAATATATCTTATAGTTTGTGTATAGAAGCACCACAAAACACATGTTTTGTTATTCATCATGGTGAAGAACTAGAAATGATCATGAATTCAACCATACAAAAATGATGCAATAAATCCTGCCACATTCATATATTTTGAAAACTGCAAAATATTTGTATCATTATAATATGGAGAAACAATTTATGAACATCAGAATTTGTATGAGTAGTTTCAATCCAGTAGGCAGAAATCTCAAGATACCTATGGAAGTGATAATAGATATTCACATACTGATACATTGATGTTTTTTATCTATGTGTGTGCAAGTGTGCACACACATGTGTAGGTATATATGCAAATGTATGTACATGTGTATAGATGCCAAAAGACAGCCTTAGACATTACTGCTTAAGGATTCATTCACCTTGGTTTTGGAGAGAAGGACCCTCATTAGCCTAGACTTGCTCATTTGGTTACATTGTATGGATCGCTAGTGAACTCCAGGGATGTTCCCGACTCCACACCCCCAGCACTGAGATCTGTGCCACTGCTTCCACTTTCCCACTTGAGTGCTGGGGATTGAACTCACGTCTTCATGATTATATGACAAGCACTTCACTGAAGTGTGTGTGTGTGTGTGTGTGTGTGTGTCTGTGTATGCATGTGTTCATGCGAGTGTGTGTGCATGCCATACACAGGCATTGAGGATGGAAAACAATGATGGGTAGCTTGCTCTGTCACTCTCTGCCTTATTATCATGATACATGTTCTCTTATTGAATCTGGAGCTAGGCTGGCTGCCAGCCAGTCCCAAAGAGCTTGTCTCTGTCCCCTACAGCACTTTAGTTACAGCCCTGTATGCAGCTATTCCCAGCTCCTTAGGTATGTGATGGCAATTTGAACTCGGGCTCTCAAACTTGTGCAGCAAATTCTCTTAGCCACCAAGCCATCTTCCTAGCCCCAAAAGTTGTAGCTCAGTCCTCAAACTTGTTATCTTCCTGCCTCTGCTTCTTCAGCATGACCTATCAGTGTATAAATCACAACTGACTCTAGCCCAATTTTTGTTGCTGTTCTTAGTGTTCTTAGTAGATATTTATATATCCCATTTTTTCACAATTGAAATATGTATATTTTAATTTTTTTATCTTTCTGTGTAATTTTTTAAAATTTGCACGTTATTTACAATAAAGTTTTATTAACAAAATATGCAGGTTGTGGGTCATGTTTGCCATCTCAGTACTTAGAAAACTGAGGCAAGAAAGAAAATTTCTGTGTTTCAAAGCAGGCTGGGGCCACATAGGCAGGCTTGTCTCAAAAATAAAAAACAAAAATGAGTTTCATTAATTTTTATAAAGCTACTTTACAACCCATGAACAAAGTATAAGATATTTTGCTTGGGAAATGGATTCTTTCAGACATGTAAGGTGATCCTCTCTGAGCCCAGTCACACATAAGCTCATCTTCAACTCCCAAGTTACAGGCTCTGTGTGTGTGTGTGTGTGTGTGTGTGTGTGTGTGTGTGTGTGTTCATGCTTGAGAAACATGTGCATTCCGAGGAGGACAGTAAGAGAGGCAGGCCTAGAGAGGGGTGGAAGCAGAGAGGACACGCAGTTCTTTTGGTTTCTATGACTCCCTGACCATGTGATTTTACTATTTGCCAGGTTGGTGACCATTATGCTATAGAATCCTATCCTGAGGGAAAGTCTGCAGCAAACCCAGGGACAGAGAACTCAACAGCTCTACCTGTGAAGTGAGAGTCCGGAGGGTCTTGTTGGAAGACATCCAGCCATTACAGGGGCTGACCTGAGAGAAGAGAAAGAACACTTTGATTAAAGAGGCACAGACCCAGTAAGAGATGTGTGGATGTATGTACACATGTGCTTGCATATATATGCATTCGAGTGTGTGTGTGTGTGTGTGTGTGTGTGTGTGTGTGTGTGTGTGTGTGTGTGTGAGATGAGGCTTCTGGGCTTACCTGGAGGCAGCTTAGGAAGGAGAAGAAGTGTGCATAGGTCACGTCTTTATTTAGCTGGCCTGGAAAACACAGAGGTCTGATATGTTACATGGAATCAGATGGCAATGCTCAAAGGCATTTGCAGACAACCTTGCTTCCCTTTCAGATGGTGCCATTTATCCTGATTGGATTGGTCAGTCAGCAGAGCTTTGAGGAATGCCTGAATTTTGTCTGAGCCTGAGTTAGGAAGAGACCCTAAGGAGTTTATGCATGAGGAATGGAGTGCTGGCCTCATGTAATTTCCAGAGGGAGAGACAGGGTCTTCTCTAGCTCTAAATGGACCAGAGTGACTTGAACAAAGCACATAGCCAGGCAACACCTTCCTCTTGGTAATGTCATGAAACTCCAAGTGAGGCTCTGGGAGCTCCATTCCAGGTGGGAATTGACTGAATCCTCCTTTCTGGGCTTCTGAAACACTTAGGTCTGAGCCGATTGTTCCATGCTGAGTAACTGGTATTCAGAATGTCTGAAATTCTGAACCGAAACCCTTCAAATATGGCTGGGGTGGCTCCATTACACTTGGGTGGGATGGAGATGCCAGTGGACTTTTATCTTCTTGATGACAATAGATTAAGAGTTCTCCATAGTTGTCTTATTGAGTGAGTTCTAGTTAGGAAATGTACCTCACAGGTTTGTCTTGTTTTGTTTTTTTTAACTTAGGTATCTGCTGTGAGTACCAATACATCTCCTCTCTCCCACTTTCAAGCCTTGATTTCTTTGCTTTCCAGAAGAACTGAATTTTGTCCTGCTCCATGGCTACTGGGAATATCACTACTGCACACTCCTTTGGGGTTAAGCCCAATCACAGCCTTGCTCAATTCTGCCTTGCTCTCCCCTTCTGCTATCCTGCCAAGATAACAGCATATCTCTGGATGAAGGCCCTGGGTATATCTTGGTTCACTGAGCCCAGTCTCCCTTCCTTTGCTTTCTATTGCTTACTGTTTCAACACTGCTCCCTCTTAACCTACTTACTGGACAGAGGGATAGATTTCCTGAACAGGATGAAGTCTCTGAAATATATTAGAAGATAGTTGTGAAACATTAATACGTATTTTTCTTCTATCTTGCATTTGTCAATTTAAAGAAAGGATGCCTCAGGGGTGCTCAAGTGGAAGGGTGCTTGGGAATGTTTACGGTGGACTAATAACCTAAAGGAAAGGAAGAGGGAATGTGGCATTTCCCCTTTGTGGGCACTGACTCTTCATCATTTGCTTTTTAGATGTTATCTTGATTTTTTAAACCTATCTCCCCTTCACCCCACCAAATCTAAGTGCTCTAGTGTAAAGAGGTTGTGTGTGTCTGTAATCCCTGATCAGGAGATATTAGTTAATCAACAGGGATCTGGGGATGCAGTTCAGTAGTACAGCTAGAGCACGAGAGCCTGGCTTTGATGCCAGCACCAAAAAGAAGAAAGAATCCCGTAGTAGACAGTGATACTGCCCACAGTGACCAGTAATTATCAGGATCTGAAAAGATGCCTCCCTCTCTCTCTCTCTCTCTCTCTGTGTGTGTGTGTGTGTGTGTGTGTGTGTGTTTTCAGAAGCCACTGGCTTGCTCCTATGGATGCTACTGACTCTCCCTAAAGATTAAAGGGCACGTTTCTCCTCCAGATGGTTAAAAGACATAGTTTGTATCTCAGAAATTTACAAATTCCTTAGGTTTAGGATTATATTTCATAGTTATATTTACTTATCCATATCTATCTATATTTCTATCTATCTTTATCATATTTATCATCTATATTTCATCTATATGTCATCTGTGTCTATATGAGAGAGAGAGAGGAAGAGAGAGAAAGGACAAAGGTCAATGTCAAGTATCTTTCTCATTTACTTTTTATCTTATTTCTTTGAGAAAGGGTCTCTCACTGAATCTTGAGCTCACTGATTCCACAAGACTAGCTGTCAGTGAGAAGCTCTTCCTATCTCCACTCCCTTCCAGAGTGCTAGAACTAGATGAATTTCTTTAATCATCTCTTCCCCTTCCTTCATTCTCAAGTTGCACGGTGTTATTATCTACTGTTGTTAAATCAAGTGTGTTTGGTCAATTTGAGGAAATGTATATAGCTAGTGGAACCAAAGTTTATGGAAGAAAATGGAATTTAAAATCAGAAAACTTCAAATCATGGTACTACTGGTGTGATGGAATAGACTGGAAGGATGCTCCCTCTTCACCAAGCTTCTCTTAGGATGAGAAATTCAGTGACCTAATGGAATTTGTTAGGAAACTACAATTTTCACACCCAGTGGCTCAAAGAGATATCCCCAACCCAAGTGGCTGTCTTTAACCACACAAAACAATTCAGAAAGGAGTGAAGGTCTATGTCTTATCATATTTTTGCCTATAAGGATAAGAAGTTATATGAACATGGAAGCTGTGCTCTCCTGACTTCGTCTTAAATGGCTGAATGTAGATATCTGCTTTTTACCTCCAGCAAAGAGACTAGATTGCTAGTTATTAGTCCTTTTCTCATGTTAATGGGAGTGAAATTTCTTGAGTAAGTTAGGGAAGTTGGTTTAATTGAAAACTGCAGGAGGAAAAAGAAGAGGAGGATCAGGAGGAGTGGGGAAGTAAGATTGAAACACACATAGAAGTTATGTACTCAAGGGAAAACGCTGGTTCATGCTCAAAAAGGAGTCAGCCATGAATAGAAGATTCTACTTACATATTCACACCCTGGCCTTATACATTCCACATAGGCTGTCATTCTAAAGTTCCTTTCATGTTGTGGCCCCAGGTTATACTCTAAGCAATTTAAACAGAGACAGGAAACTGCAAGTCTGGTCACTTGGGCAAACAGGAGATTGACCAGCAAAGCTATTGGCAGAAATATTTTTTAAGTATATCAGTGCTATTCCTTTTGAGTAGTTGTCACCCAGGTTTGTCTTGCCCACCTGCCAGGATTATGCTTTTCCTGGTAAGAGCATTGGGACTTAATGGCTGGCCAGGACTTAATGATGGCTGTGACTCTGTGTTGACCCCTTGAGTGTGGAGGCATGTTCTTTGAAATGGAGATGGGCCTAATGAGTGGACATAAGTCAGGGTTCTGTGTCTTGTTATAGAAATGGGGCCCGACTGGAGGCCAATCTCCGTGAAGAAACAGCAGCAGAAACTTTCTCAACAGCCCTAAGCATCAATGGCAGTACAGATTTTACTTTCTTACAGTTTCTGACAAGCCTGGTTAGTATACTTACTTGTCTTCTAGTCATGTCAGAGGCAGTGATCCTTTAGTTAAATTCTACTTTGTATAACTTAATATTTCACAAGCAAGCTTATTAGTGAAACCCTTATAGCATAAATTTTACTTCTTCAAATTTCTCCTGCATTAATATCATACACACACCACACATACATATCAAGCACATCCCATAGATATATGCCACATATCATAAGTATACATCACACATATTATACAATACATATCATACACATAAATGCATGGACACATTGCACATACACACATCATATGTATGCGTTGCACACATATATATCTACACAGTGAAAAGAATCTGCAAGCATAACATACCTAGAGGGTGGTACTGGTTGTGCAAACTATCCCAAAGAAAAGTTCCATCTGGCAAACCATATAAAATAACGTGACTGCCATTGGGCAGTTGGGAATTCAGATGCTTCAGAGTCTGCATGACGTTGGAGTACATTTGCTCAGGAGTGGTCATTTCTGGTACCGGGTCTGTCTTCCTGTGGTGGAAGAAACAAAGATCTTGATTAGCAGGAAGGTCACATACAGAACACTCTGTATGTGCTGGTTATTGCTTATTTTGCAAATTGCTTATGACTTCCTACTTTTCTGTCACTGAGGCCGAATTTACTGATTCCTTTGTAGTGGAGTAAGCCATGTAACTGGTGATATAAGCGCCTCTAGAATGTTCTTTGACTGTATTGCCACCTGTTTGAGGAGAGAGAAAGAGAGAGAGAGAGAGAGAGAGAGAGAGAGAGAGAGAGAGAGAGAGAGAGAGAGGATACCCATGTTCCTGAAGAACGTTCAGTGTGAGCAAGAAGGAAAAACTTGTGGCTTTATACTACTAAGATTTTAGAGTTTTTTTTCCTTTTCTATGTTTTTCTGTTTTGGAGTTTAAGTTCAACTATCTTGCCTCATGACTACTGAAGAGGATCTGTTTTAGGTTTATTTGGAGTTTTGACACTTAACATTTGGTTTTTAAATTGCACACAGACCACAGTAGGGAGACAGAGCATCTCTGAGGCATGATGTTATTTTATGTGTACACACTCTTATCCTTTATTCTCAGTTTCTATGCTAAATTTGGGCTTTCATCATTGTTCTGATAGACTTTTTCTTATGGCAATATTTACCAATAGTTATATTTTATAACACTGTCTTTCTCTGGTAGTTGTGCTCTGTAGAGCACTTAAACACATCAAGCAAATCTTAAGTAAATAACATAATAGTTGTCTTAGTTAGGGTTTTATTGCTGCGATGACACACCATGACCACAACAAATCTTATAACAGAAAACATTTAATAGGGGCTGGCTTATAGTTCAGAGGTTTAATTCATTATCATCATGGTGGGAAGCATGATGGCATACAAGCATACATGGTGCTGGAGCGGTGACTAAGAGTTCTACATCTGGATCCTCAGGCAAAAGAAAGAGACTGCCACACTGGGTGGCTTGAGCATCTGAGACCTCAAAGCCCAGCCCCTAGCGATACACTTCCAACAAAGTCACACCTATTCCAACAAGGCCACACATCCTAATAGTGCCACTCCCTGTGGGCCAAGCATTCAAACACATGAGTTTGTGGGGGCCATTCCATTTAAACCACCACAACCATGTAACTTAAGGCTTTAGAAAAAGAAAACAAGTCAAATTTAAATGCAGTGGATGAACAGAAATAATATTAGATCAAGATAGAAATAAATGAAATACAACTTAACAAAACTACAAAGAATCTTTGAAACAGAGATTTGGTTCTTTGACAAAATAAAGAGATCAACAAATGGGTAGTTAAACTAACGGAGACAAAGAAAAACAGTAGATCTAAACTTAAAAAATAAAAATGAAAAGGAAGTTATTACAATGGTCACTATTACAATAAAATCCAGAAAATCATAAGAATATAAACCTTAAGATTATATTCTACAGAGTTGAGAATATAAAAGAAGTGGATGAATATCTAGATACATGTGACCTATCAAAGTTAAACCAAGTTGAGACAAATTATTTAAACAGATATATAACCAATAATATTATAGTAGTAGCAGGAAACCACCCAACAAAGGAAAGTCCAAGACCCTTAAGGAAGATCACATATCAATACTTCTCCAATTATTCCATAAAATAGTAAGGGAAGACACTACCAGGCTCTTTTTATTAATCTATTACACCTTAGATAAGTCCTTGCCCCCAAAGAAGGAAAAATTACAGACCAATTTCCATGATTGACACAGATGGAAATATTATCAATAAAATAGTTGAAAACCAAATTCAAGAACACATAAAGACAGCTCAGGGCCTCCTGAGGCTGGGGAATGTGCACTGGAGAACCCACTCTTGTGGAACAGGTCATCTAGAGTCTGGCAACTTGTGATGCTAGTCCCACCACCACCCACAAGAGGAGGTAAGTGTGGGCCTGTTTCTGGCCCACCTTCCAGTGCCTTGCTCCTGAGGCCTGGGGACTGTGCGTGGGGGATCCTGTCAGTGCAGACCACTCTATACAGAGTCTGCTAACCTCGAGGTGCTAGTCATGCTTCCACCTATGGGAAGAGGAGAGCCATCAGAATATCAGACCTGCTTGCACCCACAGGAAGAGAACTCTAAACCTATACACAAGGAGGAGGAGAGACCCCATCAGTGTCCATTGGAAGAAGGGATGGGAAGACAACAGTATAAGAACACATTCAACAACAGAAAGATCAATATGATGCCAACAGAGTATAGGGACTCCACACGAGCAACACCTGAACATCCCAACACAGATGAAGCAGAAGAGAACAACCCTAAAAACAACTTTATGAAGATGATAGAGCCCCTCAAAGAGGTAATGAGAAAATCCATTAAAGAAGTGGAAGAAAAAAACAAACAAAAATTCAATAAATGGAAGAAAAGAGAAACCAAAAATTGCAGGAAATAAACTAATCCCTTAAAGAAAACAAGGAAAGCAAAGAAAAACCAACCGAACAAGTGAAGTAACAATTCAAACAGTGCAAGGCTTGAAAGCTGAAATACAGACAATTTAAAAAGCATAGTATGAGGGAATGCTGAAAATAGAAAGGCTGGGTAAATGACCAGGAACTACAGATGCAAACATAACCATCAGAATACAAGGGATGGAAGAGAGAATCTCAAGTGTTGAAGATATACTAGAAGAAATAGATTCATCAACCAAAAATAAATCTTAAGTCCAACAAATCCCTAACACAAAATATAAAGGAAATATGGGACACTGTGAAAAAGGAAACCTAAGAATAATAGGCATAGAAGAAGGTGAAGAAACCTACTTCAAAGGTGCAGAAAACATATTCAACAAAATCAAAGAAGAAAACTTTAATAACCTAAAGAAAGACATGCCAATAAAAGTACAAGAAGCTCACAGAAAACCAAATATAGTGGACCAAAAAATGTCCCCTTGAAATATAATAATCAGAACACCAAACACACAGAATAAAGAAAGGATATTAAGAGCAGCTAAGGAAAAAGGCCAAGTAACATATAAAGGCAAACCTATCAGAATTACTCCAGACTTCTCCATGGAAACTGTGAAAGCCAGAAGGTCTTGGACAAATATTCTACCAACACTAAGAGACTAGGGATGCCAGCCCTGACTACTACAGCCATCAAAAGGCTCAATTACTATAGATGGAAAAAACCAAGATATTCCATGACAAAACTAGATTTAAACAATACATGTCCACTAGCCCAGCCCTATAGAAAGTTCTAGAAGGAAAACTTCAACCCAAGGAAGTTAATTATGCTCACAAAAACATAGGCAATAGATAATCCCACTTTATCAACATCAAAAAAAGGGGGCATCTACACACAATACCACCACCACCAACAAATCCAAAACAAACAACAATTAACAATCAATAGTCAGTAATTTCCCTCATTATCAGTGGTCTTAATTCACCTATAAATAGACACAGGCTAACAGAATGGATATGAAGACAGAATTCATCCTTCTGCTGCATAAAAGAAATACACCTCAACTTCAAAGACAGACATTACCTCAGAGTTAAGGGTTGGGAAAAGATTATGCAATCAAATGGACCCAAGAAACAAGCTGGTGTAGTAATCCTAATATCTATCAAATTAGACTTCAAACTAAAATCAATCAAAAGAGATGAAGAAGGTCATCCCATATTCATCACAGGAAAAATCCATCAGGATGAAGTCTCAATTCTGAACATCTATGTCCCAAATACAAAGGCATCCACATCCATAAAAGAAACATTACTAAAACTCAAATCACACATAAAACCTCACATACTTATAGTGAGAGATTTCAACACCCCATTCTCACCACTAGACAGGACCAACAGACAGGAACTTAACAAAGGAATAAAGCAACTAATAGAAGTTATGACCCAACTGGGTTTAGCAGACATCTATAGAACATTCCATTCAAACACAAAAGAATATACCTTCTTCTCAGCTCCACATGAAACCTTCTCTAAAATTGACCACATACTCGGCAACATACCAAACCGCAACAGATACAAAAAAAATTGGAATAACCCCCTTTATCTTATCAGACCACCATGCTTTAAAGTTAGAATTCAATAAAGCACAAATTGCAGGAACCCTACACGCTCATGGAAATTGAACAACGTGCAATTGTTCCATACCTGTGTTATGGAAGAAAAAAAAAAAAGAACGTAAAGACTTCCTGTAATTCAATGAGAATGAAGACACAACTGTGGAGGGCCCTAAATAAGAATACCATAATAGAAGCCTTCTTAATATTCATACTGTATTCTTAGAGACTAACACTTAGTTACGTTTCTATTTCTCTGTGCCTGCTTATTTTCCCGTAGAGCATATTTTCAAGGCCTGAAGTCCAGGCTCTCACACCCTTCTGCCACCTGGCCTGCAGTCCAGACTCCCGCATCTGCAGATTTGTGTCCTTGGAACATACCCTGCCAAGGAACACTTCTGCTCCCCCGCCCTTCTGCTACCTGCCTTACTTAAGCCCTGTTGGTACTTTCAACAAACGAGACTTGATCAGAATACTGTCTTGTCCCCGTCTCTCGCATCTGTTGTCTCCCCATTCTTACTCCCTCCCGTAGGGTTCCCTTTTGACTGACCCTGCGGGCAGGGGCACATAACATACCCAAACTTATGGGGCACTTTGAAAGCAGTGCTAAGAGGAAAGTTCATGGTACTAAGTGCCCACATGAAGAAACTGGAGAATATTCACACTAGAGAATTAACCACACACCTGAAAGTCCTAGAACAAAAAGAAGCAAACTCACCCTGGAGGAGTAGATGCCAGGAAATACTCAAATTGAGGGCTGAAATCATTAAGTAAAAACAAAGAAAACAATACAATCAATGTAACAAAGAGTTAGTTTCTCTAGGAAAGTAACAAGACCAAAAAAAGTAACAAGACTGACAAACCTTTATCCAAACTAACCAAAAGGCAGAGAGAGAACATGCTAACTAACAAAATCAGAAATGAAAAAGGAGAGATAACAACAGACACTGAGGAAATCCAGA